CCAGGGGAAGGATACTGCAAAATCTCCATTCCCTCCCCACTCCAGGGGAAGGATACTGCAAAATCCCCATTCCCTCCCCACTCCAGGGGAAGGATACTGCAAAATCTCCATTCCCTCCCCACTCCAGGGGAAGGATACTGCAAAATCCCCATTCCCTCCCCCCTCCAGGGGAAGGATACTGCAAAATCTCCATTCCCTCCCCACTCCAGGGGAAGGATACTGCAAAATCCCCATTCCCTCCCCCCTCCAGGGGAAGGATACTGCAAAATCTCCATTCCCTCCCCACTCCAGGGGAAGGATACTGCAAAATCCCCATTCCCTCCCCACTCCAGGGGAAGGATACTGCGAAATCTCCATTCCCTCCCCACTCCAGGGGAAGGATACTGCAAAACCTCCATTCCCTCCCCACTCCAGGGGAAGGATACTGCAAAATCCCCATTCCTTCCCCACTCCAGGGGAAGGATGCTGCAAAATCCCCATTCCCACCTCACTCTGAGACCAGCCATTTGCCGGTTCTCCGAACTACTCGAAATTTCCGCTACCAGTTCTCCAGGACCTGTCAGAACCTGCTGGATTTCACCCCTGCTTATGACTGTTTTTCACACTTACGACTGCTGTAGCGGTTTCAAGTTTCAGTACAATTGTAAATGGGGGATTCTGGGAGTTTCCTGCTATTTTGAATTGGGGAAATGCACGGAATATGTAGCCTAAGCCCCATGGATTCTCATAATTTGTATTTATAAAAAGAAAAAGAGAAACCTTACTCCTCTTCACAGAAGGGCCAAGAGAAAAAGGAAAAGACTTTGCATCATTCCCCAGACAGTATAACTTCTAGCCAGATGCAAAATATTAATCCCCCCCCCAGCAATTACGGGGGACTTGAAATTTCCCAGGTTATAATGCATGGAAACAAATATCTTGAATAGGATAGAATTTGGCTAGAATTCTATTTCTGTGGTTAGACACACAATAACATTTTGTCTCTGATACAGAAGCACTTAGTGTAACTTCCAAAACAACAAATAATACTACTACTAAAAGTGTGCAACCAGGATAAGGGAGAAACAAGAGATAATAAAAAGGATAAATAATACCACGCCCACATTCAGCGGTTAGCAGATTAACAGAGTTGGAAGGGACCTTGTAGGTCATTTAGTCCAACCCCCTGCTCAAGCAGGAGACCCTAAACCCTTTCTAACAGATGGCAATCAGTCTCTTCTTGAAAGTCCCCAGTCATGAAGCTCCCACAACTTCTGAAGGCAACTTCTATTCCATCGGCTGATTGTTCTCACTGTCAGGAAATTTCTTATTTCCAGGTTGAATCTTTCCTTGGTAGGTTTCCATCCATTATTCCTTGTCTGGTGTTCGGGGGCTTTGGAAAATAGCTTGACCTCTTCCTCTCTGTGACAGCCCCTCAAATATTGGAAGACTGCTATTATGTCTTCCATGGTCCTCTTCATTAGACTAGCCATGCCCAGTTCCTGCAACCGTTCATCGTACGTTTTAGCCTCCAGTGCCCTAATCACCTTTGTTACTCTATTAATATACATAGACATTAGACAGAATTTAGTAGTCACTTTATTTTATCAACTGTGAGGATCAGGTGTTCAGCAGAGTGATGGCACAAGGGGAAAAAACTTCAGTTTTGTCTTTTATTTTTTATTTTTTTTAAAAAAACACTTCTTCCTTCTATAGTTTTTTTGTTACTGTTGTGGCCCGCCAACGGAGCTGATGGCAGACTCAAACAGTGAGGAGGTTGGGAGGAACATGGGCCAGTCCTGGAGTCTGGGGAAGACTCTGATCCTCAGGGCTCTGCATCGGAAGCAGAGAAGGGGCCGTCCGACAATTATCAGCTGCCTTCAGAGTCGGAGATAGTGGGGCAGAAGAATAGCTGGAGTCTGTTCCCAGGCTCCGCATCTGCAGAACTTCCAGGAGAAGGGAACAGCTAAGGAATAAGGGCCGACTCGGGAGTAAAGGCACAGGTGGACGGTAAATGGCCTCTCCCATAGGGAATAAAAGAGGAGCAAAAGGGGAGTGGAGTTTGCAGGAGACAATTAGTTCACTTGGTTAGTGTGAAGATTTGTTCGTGACTCTCAGAGACTCCTTGCCAAGTATTTTCTTATACAGCGTTTGGAAGATATCGGCCTGGCAGCTCTCCAAGCCTGATAAGGTCTGTGGTTGTAAATTCACCCTTGAAAGACTGTTTGCCAGGACTTTGCTGGGTGTGAATAAGACGAATTCACCTTAGCTTAATAAAAGGGTTTTTTTTTTTGTCTAGGCAAGGAGTCTGCTTCGTGATTTTGAGAAGACTAGATCAGGACAGTTACTATAAAAAAGACAGCGAGACTTTTGCTTCTCCCTTCTTTTTCTTTCCTCCCCCAGGGAGCAAATCAAGCGAGTAAAGGATTCCGAAGACGTGCCCATGGTGCTAGTCGGCAACAAATGCGACTTGCCCTCCAGGACTGTAGACACCAAGCAGGCTCAGGATTTAGCAAGAAGTTACGGGATCCCCTTCATCGAAACCTCTGCAAAGACACGACAGGTAACGACCTCCAGGTGGCTGCGACGGGGGTGTAAAATTCCAGGTGGGAAAGGCAGAATTCCTAGTAGCCAGAAAAGGCTTCCTCTCAGGTAGTTCAGAAGCCCTTTTTACCTTTGGATATTCAAAGGTACCATATTTTTTCGGACTATAAGATGCACCGGAGTATAAGACCCACCAAGATTTCGAAGAGGTAAATTTAGTTTGGTAATCAAACATCTGCAAGATAACCACCAACAGTTAAACCCCGAGCTACATATCCTTTATTGAAAATCTGGTTGCACATCCTCCAAATAATTGATGGGTCATTTACACTTCATAACCACAATTGGAACCAAAACATCTCGTTAAGCAATGTGGTCGTTAAATGAATCATGCCCAATTTTACCACCTTTCCCCCCCTTCAGTGGTCATTAAGTGAACCGCATAGTTCTTAAGTAAATCTAACTTTCTCATTGTGGGAAAGGACTGACAGCCCGTGTGATTTATTGTCAACGTTTTGACTGATGTTCATCAATGCATTAGCACCAACCTCGGCAATTCCCAAGTATATGAATGTCAACTCCCAGAATTCCACAGCCAGCCTAGCCATTGCTGAGGATTCTGGGAGTTGAAGTCCACTCATCTTTAATCTGCCAAGGTTGAAAAACATTGCAATAGCAGAAAGAATGGGCGTTATCTAGCCAAAATATACTCTCCATCCCCAATAATGCTGGTTATTAAGAAGCACAGAGGCAGAAACATAAAATAAGTGACTGTTTCCTAGCTGACTGTATAATTGAATTATCTTCTTTGTGAACTCTTACCTGTTCTTCACACAGGAATCTTTAATTTCTTCTAAGGAAGGGTTGGACAACTATGGCTTCCTTATGACCTGTGGACTTCAACTCCCAGAATTCCTGAGCCAGCCATGGCTGACCCAGCATGGCTGGCTCAGGAATTCTGGGAGTTGAAGTCCACAGGTGGCAAAGGGCCATAAATAATTGCTCGTATCTATTTTACTGGGAGTTGAAGAAAAATCATCTAAGCCTATTCAATTAAAGAGTATCAGTTCTGCCTTCAAGATTTTGGCATGTATTCTTTTTGACTGTTGATTTGGACAGTGTCTGGATCGGTGGAAGACAATCTTTGTTGAAAAGTCAAGAACAAGAGTTTAGACTAACGTCTCATAATTCTTCCACGCCTCTTAACAGCTTCGTAATGAGATCTGTGGACATAGTGAAGTCTCTCCCATCTTCAAGCCAATATCAAAATCCAGATGCAGAATCCAGTGTGTGCACTGCTATTTGGGGGGGACGGGACTCAAGATTATACCTTTTTAAAAAAAATCTATGGTTTAAACCAGTGTTTTCCAATCTTGGCAATTTGAAGACGAGTGTGTTTCAAATATGGCAACTTTAAGATAAGTGGACTTATCTTAAAACTCCCAGAATCCCCTAGCCAGCATGGAAAGACCAGGGAATGCTGAAAATTGAATTCCGTACATCTTAAGGTTGCCAAGTTTGAAAAAAACACTGATTGAAAAGAACAAGCTGGGCTGAGATATTTTGGCTTCTGTCCACATGAGCATAGAACTTGCAAACCATAGATATGTTCCTGGTTTGTTTCTGTGGTGGAAGAAAGAATCCAAGTTGAGCCAAGCCAAGATCTCATGTTGTGTAGTGCCATCAACATGGATGATTGTGTGAAGAGAATAGAATTGCAGGTCCCTCCAAAGGCATTTTTACCTCAGCTTCAGTGGTGGGTTGTAGGCGGTACACCCCGGTACGGGCGTACCGGTGCTTGCCCAGAGCACTGGATACCGGTACGGTATGGTGCTTCGGAGGGCCCACCTGCCCACCCGCCTGTCGTCCTTACTTGTCTTTAAACTCTTCGGTGCTTCTGCGTATGGTGCGTACAGCGCCTACGCGACACTCCGCTGAGCAGCAGGAGCATCGCAGAGGCGTCTCTAGAGGGTAAGACGCATGCGCGCGTGACGCACATTCATGTGGAGGACGCCGGGGCCCCGTTGCAACCGTGACCAGTTACAACGGAATCTGGAACCTGCTACTGCTCAGCTTACATTTCCTCTCGTGATCTAAATTTCAAAACTTCTGACTGTAGTGTCAAAATCGGCCTGGAATATTACAGGCAGACCTCGACTTATGACCACAATTCAGCCCAAAATTTATGCTACTGTATGTGTGATAATTATCAAGTGAGCTTCGCCCCATTTTACAACCTTTCTCGCCAGAGTTATTAAGTGAAGCGGTGCAGTTTTTAAGTTAGTAGCACGGTTGTTAAGTGAATCTGGCTTCCTCACTTGACTTTGCTGGTCAGACGGTCGCAAATGGGGAACACTGCAACCGTCATAAATGCGAGTCAGTTGCCAAGGTTGAGAAACACTGGTCTAGAGTTTGACCAAATGACTGTGGACAATAGTCATAAGTGCAAAAAAAACCAAAAACGGTCATAAGTCACTTTTTTTTTGGTGCTGCTGAAAATTTGAGCAGATTGTTAAGTCGAGGTCTACCTGNGAAATTCCTACCTTTCTGATTGACAAGCTTAGCTTCTTAGCCACTGAGCCACCTTATCCCTTAGTTGGACATTTTATTACCTGTTTATTTGGGTGTTCAGCTCTCCCAAGGACAAAAGCAAGTGGCTCCAAAACAGAGTGCCTGAAGGATGAACCTCTGAAGGATCTTGGGGGTCTGAAAGTGGCTCGCCCACACCGGTCTTTGCTAGAATCGCACCAACTGGGGCTGGCTGAGCAACGTTTGGGCCAGGGGTCTCTAGGAGATGAAGCAAGGAAGCCCAAGGTCAGAGGAGCCCAGGACGGTGTGAGTAGGAAATCCAATGGCCCATAACAGCCTTCAAAAGGAAGTGAAGGAGAACAATTCCAAAGCTTTCCCCTTCACTGGGATGACCATTTCACATGTCATCACAGCAAGAGAGGGAAGAAAGGACTCAACTCCCTTGCTTCAAGTCCCCAGGAAGGAAGACACCCCAGAGAATTAATTGTGTCATGTGTGGGGGGGGAGGAGGAAGGCTGATCCTGCATTCATGGCAGTGGTGGGTTCTGGATCCCGTTCCAACCGGTACGGTTGGAACAGGCCTGGCGGTATCCACATGGATGCGTCTGCGAGCCTCCGCAATGCACCAGCTGCTCAGCAGAGCATTGTGCAGGCACTGTGCATGCCATGTGCGTGTGCAGAAGCGCCAAAAACTTAAAAGACTGGTAAGGAGTTTGGGCAGGCAGGTGGGCCCTCTGGAGCACCGTACCGGAATGGTATCCGGTGCTCTGGCCAGGATCCTGGATGATGTCAGAACAGAAGGGAAACTCACCTTCAAAATCAAATATCTGTGGATGACACAATAGGTCTCACTCATGCTTTTTTGGGGGGGGCAAGGTGACATTACAGGCACATGGGCAAGAAACATTGCCAGCCTGTGTATGTGCTGAGGGTGGTTGGAGACCGTGGTGAAATTCAATTTTTTTTACTACCAGTTCTGTAGCCGTTGCTTGGTGGGCATGGCAGGGGAAGGATACTTCAAAATCTCCATTCCCTGCCCACTCCAGGGGAAGGATACTGTAAAATCCCCATTCCCTCCCCACTCTGGGGCCAGACAGAGGTGGTATTTGCCAGTTCTCTGAACTACTCAACATTTCTGCTACCGGTTCTCCAGAACTTGCTGAATTTCACCCCTGGCTGGAGGGCAGGACACGACCCAACAGTGTGGACTTTGGAAAAATGAATCTGGAATCCATCCCTTTCTTATTCTCAAATCTCTGGAATCCACGGATAGATTGTCTCCCTTCCTCTCCCCATTTTCCACACCCATTTTCTTCATGTGAGTGAGGCACTAGCAGTGACAGCAACTTCTTCCATCTCTTGTGCCAACTCTTGCCCACTCTGTCTGTAGACCCAGAAGAGGAGGGGCAAGAAGGCCCTTCCCTCCCCTGATAGAGATCCTTGGGCTTTGGAGGCTCACACCTCATCACCTTTGATCAATCTTTCCCACCCTACTTTGTGTTGGGTTTCTTCTCTTGTTGTGTACCAAGGTCTCAATTTGTCACGCTTGCTGTCATTTCTTGTGTAGGTCATCTCCAGATCTTCCTCTTCATTTATAGCAAAGTCTACCTATCCACCACCACCCCTGACCATATTTTATTTGCCACAAAGACTTTAGACCCAAGACTGTATTTTTTTTAATCCCAGAGAGGCAATTTGTGTCTCTCTTTTTTTTCCTTCTAGAGTAAAGCCTTAATAAGAAGTCCAAGAAAACTAATCAGGGAAAATGAAACAAATGGTATTATTAAAAGACAGTTAGCAAAGCCCAATAGACTCAGCTGAAGCTCCCAGGCTAATGGTGATATTGAACAGGAAGATGATTAAGATGTCACCAGGGAGTTTTAACTGGTCAGCATTAAAATCTTTGGCCCTCTGCCTGCATTGTCGTCTTTGAAACGTGATTAACTTTGGTGAGGCTAATGACTCCTGCAGAAAATTATGAGATAGAAAACATGGAGGTTATTTTCAACAGAGCTCTGGCTGTTCTCAGATAGCTTAAACTCTACAAGGTCTTCCATGCAGCTTCGTATGATTAGAAGTTGATAAAATGCTAGTATATTTGCAGATTGAATCAGAAGTTTGAAAAGATATGGCTGCTGTCAGGGTGAATTTCTGCGATAAAAGTAAATGTTTTCAATTATGTTTTTGCTTCAGACAATACTTGCTTTGACAACTGATGTACCATTTAAACAATGGCAAAAAGATATATTGAAATGTGTAAGGCAAGGGGGGAAAATAAATATAATCTTATAACAAGATGCAAAGAAGGGAGGAGGAGGACTGGCTTTGTGCCGAATTTCAAATTGTATTTTGCAGTCTGGATGAAAGAATGGATGAGGTTGAGGAACAGGTGACTTTTGGACTGAAAAGATCATGACCCGAAGTTTGTGTGGCATAAATACTTATGGCACAAGAAGATTAAAATTAATGTGGATTTTAAAAATTCTTTTG